AGATAGCTAAAAAAAGAAAGTGGAAATCCCGAGTTGTTAACTTTTAAATTGTGTCACCCAGTCTTGTTGGTGCTAGAATTAGACTATTTCAAGGGGTCACTCTGCTTAATTTAACGAGTGAAAAAATGCACCTCGTGTCTCACTCATGGGTGCACTTGTGACGGCAAATTCATAGACTGCTATTGGGAACAACCAACCACTCCTTTACAAAAAGACGTTCAAATAAATAAACTAACAAATAATAACGAGAAGAAAAGAAAAAAGCCCGAGATCACACACAGAGTTTTTTTGTATAATTGTTTTACAATTTGGGTTTTTAAGTGAAGTTCAATGTAGCCCTTTCTTCTTCAGTGTCTGCGGTTAAGAATTTCTACTCCTCGAATTTTAATGGTTTATAAACTCCTTGTTACTGAGAGAAAGATAATTAGATAGATAAGATGATAGAGTGAGTGACAGAAAGAGAAAGAGAGAGATAGACAAAAGGGAGGAAAAAATCGAGAGAATAGAAAATATGAGAGTGAAAGAAAGAAAAAGAAGCAAAGAAAGAAGCTAAACGACTGTTGAACGCAAAAAAGAAAGGTAGAAAAAACAAGCATTGGGAAAAGAAAGGAAGACAGAAAGAAGAACGAATGAGAAAAAAGAATGTAGAAAGAAAATGAGTGACCAGAAAGGAAAAAAAATGGGGTAAAAGAAAGGAAAAAGAAGTTGGGGATTTGAGAAAAAAGTAGATTAATGAGGAAGACAACGCAGGGAAGTGAAGATACAACAGAACGTCCCCTGTGGACATGAAGAGACAACCAAAGAAAAAAAATATAAAATTGATAGAAAATCTGAATGGTATGGTTGCGCTCCCGTTGGGAAAATCACTGAATTCCTCCCTTCAGACTTCATGCGTGTGTATGCTTGTGTGTGCGTGCGTACAACAGGAGACAGCGTCAAAATGTGTCTAGAGAAGAATGTGTTGGATATCTGTCTACCAGAAATAACTTTTATAAAATAAATAAAAATCTATTATTATTATTATTTTCTTGGGTTTATGTTGTATACGCATTTCCTTTAGGGTCCCAACTGGAGACCTAAGCTCAGAAATGACTTCATGACATTTTCCACTGATCATTTTTTGTAAAAAAAAAATATTAAGATCACACACATTTTACATAGATAAAGCTCTTGTGTGTACAATTTTTTTTTTTTTTTTTGTATTTCATTAATGCATGTACAAACCAGGAATCCCTTCAATGAGTCTATCGGACCCTTTTCCAATCAATCCGAAGGCTCGAACTCCAACTGGAATTATCGATGGCTTCATATGACACGCTTTTGAGATTTCTATTTCAAGATCCTTGTATTTTGATACTTTTTTGAAAATCTTCAAAGATACACATTACAGTCTACAGGGAATGTCATGCCAGTAAAAAAGTTTTTGTGGTCTTTGATGTCTGGGCGATTAGCTGTGATTGTTCTGTCTCTGTGTATTGTAAAGTCCCTTAAAATTGTTACAGGACCTATCTCTGTAACAGGGTCTGGGTGATATTCATACAAGTTTCTTGCAGTTTCCTTCTCGTAAAAGTGACATATTTTTCAGTGCAGATATTAGCCCACTCTATCATGCTGAGTTTTATATTCAGTGGGTGCTAACACTGTGCAACCTGGTACAAGTTGGCCAGTTGTTTCTGAATATTTATCACAGAATCTGCATTTAGGGGGTCAACGCAATTTTCCACCATATGTGCTTGGTAATTTCTAGTTAGCAAGTATTGGTCCTGTGTTGCAAGAATTAAACCTTCGTTTCGGCTTTTAACCCTGCACTACGTAACCACTGATGGGTATGGGTTTTGTCTATATCAGATTGTTTGGTATGGGTAGAGTATTGACCATGAAGAGGCTTATCTTGCCATCGTTTCTACATTTGGTACATTGCATTTGGTTTCTTTGTTAGGTTCTTTGCCATTGTAGTAAGTGTATTATGATTTATTTGCACTTCTTCACCCTCTTGTAATTCCCCTTTGAACCTGTTGGCTTCCTTTATTACTGAATAAAGTTTCTTCTTTCTTTCATGTTCTTTGACAAAGATCATCATTCAGTCTTCTGTAGTTTCCAGATATCTTTGAAAACCGATTGTTTTGGTTTTGTAAGACAATTCTAGATGAACTAATCCTCTGTCTCCTTTGGATCTAGGCACATACAGACGATCAACATCAGCCTTATTATTATTATTATTATTATTATTATTATTATTATTATTATTATTATTATTATAAAAATGCCTTGATGCTACACAAGTCACGACTTTCATGGTTTTTTATCTTAATTGCTTGAAATTCTTAACAAGGACATGTTTTGCCTTGGTGAATTAAGACGAAATAAAGTAAATAACCTTTTAAGTACCACAAAAATTGAAGGATGTAACTCCCAAGAGCATTTGGGAGTCACATCTAGATATCTTTTAACGCCTTTATTTAGAGGTTGTTTGAGTTATGTGATCTGAAGATATTTCTAACTGAGCTTCACTTGCAAGTTTTTGGGTTACTTTTATCAAAACCTGTCACTATATCGCCTACATTTCGCTATGATAAATGTGCTTGGCATACACTTATCAGTCTCGATGTCATGAGGGATGTATTGGGATTTGGATTTGTACTTCAACGTCTCACTCAATAATGGTAAAGGTAGTATTAGCTTTTTCCCTATAAGGAATTATTTGGCATTCATTGACCAAACAGCCAGTGCTGCTATCGGTTGAAATTCACAAAAGCTTCCTCATGGAAAAATTGTTCAGGAAAATGGTTTCTCAAATCCAGTAGCTGTTATCGCTCTTTCCAGTGCTGATGGGGGTTTCCTTCCCAACCTTTTATTCAAAGTAGTGAGTAATGTCAACATCTTGATTATGTCATTGTTTTCTCTTCGTGTTATATGTGCTATCCATTTTAGTTGTTGCTGCTCATAGTAGTCCTCAAGTGATCTGGTTTTCTGGTATCTGGTACAGTTGTTTGTTTATGATTCTGTAGCGCCAGTTCAGAAAAATAATAAAACTGATTTCCAGCAGTCCACAATAATAATAATAATAATAATAAAACTGATTTCCAGCACTTCACAATAATAATAATAATAAGTTGTCAAAATACAAGGATCTTGAAATAGAAATCTCGAAAATGTGGCATATGGGAACATCAACAATCCCTGTTGTAGTTGGAGCCTAGGTCTGATTGGAACAGATTGCAGTAGACTAATTGAAGGGATTCCTGGAAGTCCATGCCTCAAGGAGATACAAAAAATTGTTCTGACAAGTACAGCCCACACCTTACGAAGGATTTTTTTTTTTTTTTTTTTTTTTTTTCAGTGGAAAGTGTCATGACGCCATTTCTAACCTTAGGTCCCTGGGCGGGACTCGGAAAGAAATGTGTAAACGCCAGAAATCAAAGAAAATAATAATAATAATAATAATAATAATAATAATAATGATAAAACTGATTTCCAGCAGTAAAACGTTTCTTTAAAAAGCATATTTTTTTAATTCCCTGTCACTTCAGGACGTTGGTGATCATGGCTGTCCATAGATACTGTTTCTTTATCATCTGTGAAGTTTTGGGGGAGAGATCGTAGAGTGGTTTTCCGTTGCCTTATAAGTGGTTTTGAATTCGGAGTTGTCTTCTACGTTGATAGGTTGTCACTCAAGATTAGAGAGTCCGGTCTATTTCACCAAAGCTTAAGTGGAAGAAGAAACGTATCAATTCACTTCCCAAGAGCATTTACGCAAAAGTGAACGCATCAGACTTGCCGGAATGTGAACTCGGCTAGCTGATTCCCTTTTACACGCCGATAACAGCTACGCTACCCGCACATCCAGGGGCATGATCACGTGCACTGATTTTTTTTTTTGCGGACGGAAATAAAGTCACAATGAAAATGTCACAATTTTGTGTGGGAAAATGTTACAGCAGTTATTAATGTTTAATTTATCATAATAAAATAAGTAATATTTTTCTAAGTAAATGTTGACGGTTAAGACAAGTGCTTCAATTGACGGTAAGTAAAAAAGATGAATCTGTTGCAGTGTAAGTGTCTGGGAAGTGTTTCAATAGATGATGGAAAATGTGACACCGAAATCCGAAGGTGCATTGGAATAGATTAAAGATGCTTTCTATAAACTAAATAAAGAATTAAGAGACAATAAAATTTCGTTATAAACAAAAATAGAACGCTAAACTGTTACGTAATATCAATCGTTATATATGGCAGTGGATACTGCATAATTTCTTCACAGATGAAGAGAATACTTGAGGCAACAGAGATGTGGTTCTCTAAATGGATACTGGGAATACCACGGAAAGAACATGGGAGTAATGAGGAAGTTTTAAGGAAAATAGAAACATGAAAAGGACATTTAGAATCAGAAAAAATCAGACTGATGAAATTTCTGGAGCATAAAGAAAAAAAGAGAGTTTAGAGAATTTTGACACTTACAGGACATATTGAAGGTAAGAAGGGGGCAGATAGAAACAGCGAATCACCTACGTAAAGAAATACGTGAAAGGATGACTGGAGTGAGAATGAATGGTAGAAAGACAAACATTGGTAAGACTTACAAAGGATAGGGAGTTTTGGAGAGTCAGGATAGCTCACGTCCAGAAGTGACATCGCACGTGAAAGAAGTTTAATTAGCATTGAGTATCCCCCCCACACACACACTCATTCACTTACACATACACACACACATAAAGATGTGTACTATAAAATGATGATGACCACTTTTCAAATCTCGTAAGCTATTAATAGTGAATTAATTATATTCTGAATTCTCCTTGAATGTGTCTTTGTAGGCTTGTGGCAAAATTGGCTGAACTCAACAAATATCTACGAAACGCTATTATGCACGGGATGCTATCCAGAAGTTCCGGGAACTGCTCCCATAAAATTTGATTTGTTTAAATTCCCTGAACTTTTAGATAGTATATCGTATCATACTCATCTATCTAAGTCTCTTTCTTTCTTTCTTTCTTCACCGGTTCTCTCACGATCTTTGATGTTAAGCATCGTCGAGCAAGGTCAATACCTAGATGGGTGATCGCTTGGGAATACTAGGTGCTGTAACCTTGGATGTGCGGGTGGTGTAATGTATACCGGCTCGGAATTAGAAATCGGTGAGCCAGTTTTCAATTCGAGTCGATTTCGTTACGCGCAAATACCTTAGGGAAAGTTATGAATCCACCTCTTCTCCACTCCCAGCTAATTAGTGAAACTTGTACCACTAAAGTAAACCATTATTATCTAAAAAAAAAAAAATGTTACTATGTAAAAATATTTCCTGGCTTTAAATAACTTGCAAAAGGTTGATAAGCCGTAAAATAATAACAAATCAATCCAAAAAAAACTTTCTTTTTTCTTTCTTTCTTTCTTTCTATCTATCTACCTGTCTGTGTCTTCATAACTATTTATCTTTCAGTATTTTCATATCTATCAATCCTCATATCTATCTATCTATCTATCTATCTATCTATCTATCTCCATCATTGTCTTCATATCTCTGTCTAAAATCCAGAGACGGCTATCACGTACAAGGCCAACTAAGTGATCGCTTAATCTTATCTACCGAATACAAATGTCGGCACGAATAAATTATTTCCTTCGAGTCCCTACACCAGGCAAGGTACTTATTCTGTACGGGATGCTCAGTAATTTTCAAATAATTTTATCCGGGACGCGATTATTTTGTTCTGTGTTTATTAGATTTATATAAATATCCCTCCTAGTGGAACGTTTATTTAAATTGGTACGTTTATCTTATAAGCTGATAAATTCCTACCGGCCCAACTATTGCAGTCGACACTTTTATTTGGTACAAAAGAGTAAGGCAGTAAAATCGTTATAAAAGATGTTGCTTCGTGTGTGCTTATAGGCACGCTGCAATCATTCGAATAATTGGACGTAATCTTGTGTAATTACCTTATCAAAACTTATTTGCTGGGGAAAACAATATGCACAATTTCTGGTTAGCCAGGGTGCTGTATATTCTGGCGCTGGTATTGTCTATGTCTATTTTAAGATCTCGCTCCTTATCCAATTCTGTTTATATATATATATATATATATATATATATATATATATATATATATATATATATATATATATTTTAATCGAAAATTATAAGATAAATATGTCATAAAATCACTACAAAACAGCCATTTTGTTTCAACACTTCTGTTGTCTTATCAAGTAACGGTGTTGAATGTGGAAAAAAGGGTTCTAAAAGGTTCAAATCGACCAAACACCAATCGATAGGGAAAACGCTGTTACATAAGCTGCAATGACCAATCAAAATACAAATATATTGGAATTCAAAAAACTTAACAACCAACTTTGGTTATAATAATTAATGACTTAATGTTAGGTTTAGACTAAAATAGAAATCATTCTAATTAATATTCAATTTTATTATAAAGCTGAAAATTAAAAATTTCCAGTTTTAAATTTCTTTTGTATTAAGTTTAAAATATAAAATTATTTAAAGAAGAAACTGAGGAAAATACATATATATTTTGTTATTTATTTTGTTTTAATTGAAAGGCCAAAAACTCAGAATAAATGTTAAAATCTAATATTGATGTTAAGCTTCGTTACAATTTAGATACATTTGAAGTGGTGATATGGGCAGAGGAGGGTGGAATCTTGCAAAAGACAATGACATACACAATCAGATTATAATACACAAACACAGGCATATTTAGATATATAAACACGCAAAGACATGAACGAAACAGGAAATAGATGTCCACAGCCCTTAAAAAAAAACAGACAACATATACATACAATGAAAGGCATATATAAGCGATCATACACGCATACATTAATAAAGACACACACATATACACACACACACATATATATTTGCTCTACTGGGTATTGAGCACTCTTTTAAGAACAGTATTTTTCGGTTATTGGAATTTATTCCGGATACACCAATCATATACTTATATATATATATATATGTGTGTGTGTGTGTGTGAGTGTGTGTGTGTTGTGTGTGTGTGTGAGTGTGTGTGTGTTGTGTGAGTGTGTGGGGGTTGGGGTGTGCTTTTGTATGTAGGCAGGAAATGTGATACGCACCTTCATTTGAACAATGGTGAATGTAGAAATTGTTCAAATGATTGTTCGTTCCGAACGCTTTTCGGCTAAATCTATTTTTAAGGATTTTTGTTTTGCTGTTGTAAATGGTGCGTAATGGTGATATTTTAAAGAATATAAAGATTTCAGAAACGTAAACATATCCTTAATTCCTAAATATAGCCAGTATTTTCTGACCGTGATCATAGTTGATGTTGATCATACATACATATCATTATATAAAGGCTACTATTATTTTTAGACGCTTTCTGCAGCTGAAGATGCGTATCACATTTCTTGCCTAAATACAAAACCATACACACACACAAATATATATATATATATATATATATATATATATATATATATATATTTATATATATACTTTACTTTATACAAAGTAGTGCAGAAATAACTCCCATATAATGATAAAACATTAGTAGCTAGATAATGTCTCATGTGGGAGGTATTTATGTGGTGAGGTATATGTGGGACGTATTTCTGTCGCAAATTATACATACATACATACATATATATATATATATATATATATATATATATATATATATATATATATATATATATAATAGGCTGATTAATGCAATTCGATGAATGATAAAAAAATATTGTCAATAAAACTGATAATATTTATTTTATATTAATAGGCCTTTCGACTAAACCGCAGCACGTAGAGAAAGATTTTAATGTCGGAATTTTCGGTCGCGCTTGCGTCCTTTATCAACGAGACAGGAAATAAACGATGTAGTGGGACTCTACTTTACCGGGGAATTTGGTTGTTTTTGTTTTGTATTATATTGTAAGAAATTTGATAGTTTAGGCCTATTTACAAACCCTGCATATATATATATATATATATATATATATATATATATATATATATATAACTGAAACACCTGTATTCACTAAGAAGAATAACGTTTATAATAATAAGAAATCCCACGATGATTAGGTGCCATGCGCGACGCACGCTTGGTCGATCACGTCTCTTTCGATTCAAGATTGACTTGGTAGAAGCATTCTTGCAGTAGGCTGCCCTTACTTTCTACAGTAAGAGAAAGATAAGAAATAATGTCATTTAAAAACTTACGTAGTCGTTATAGGTCTTTAGAAATTCCAACGAGAGATGCACTTCCCTTAAATAGGTAATTTGAACCTTGCTTTGTCAAGATGGTCTCCCGTACCCAAATTGATAACGGCACTCTTTTGCTATAGGAGTGGTTTCCCAGATGAAACAAGAAAAAAAAAAAAAAAAAAAAAAGATATAGATTTGATTCCTGTCGTGAGGCACAATTTTTCTTTATTAGAACTTCTCGATCCAGGCCGGTTGTTATAAACTTAGGGAGATAAGAAATAATCTCGATTATTTAAAAAATTGTATATATATATATATATATATATATATATGACAAGGTTGGTGTATTTTTTAATATGAGAACGGAAAAGTATCAAGAATCACACAGCTGAAAAATCTGTGAATTTAAATAAAAGTTTATATGCACACACATACATGTATGTATACATGCATACCAGTTGCATCCCTGATGATGATCTCAGAAAGAGAGGGAAAGTACTTGGGAAATAAAAGTGATTTTCACTGTTACATTGCATTTCTTGCATCATTTGATTGTAATACACGGAAAGAAAAATATCCATGAATATGAACGGATTATGCTAAAAATAGGCAAAGATAATGATTGTAATTTATTTATTCAGACATGCCTAAAAGAGAATTTACTGCCTAAATACACACACACACACACACACATATATATATATATATATATAAAAGAGCTGTACAATTATTATTAATTCAATGAAAGTGTAGGTTTCTGACTGGGCCGTGAAATGTTGAAACTGGAATGATGCGATAACAAGTAACAAGAAGGTATGCATCACACACGCATACACACATACACGCACATGCGCGCGAACGCACACACAAGTGCGCGCACACACACGTACTCACACACACCCGCTCCCGCGCACATATATTTCTATACAGTTAATACATTTATTTTTAATTCGACATTTCTATTACTTCAAACGCTATTATAGTGGATACGGGTATTTAAAAATGGGGCGTCTATTTCAAATACGAGTATCCCGTATATTAAAGTTTGAAATATATATATATATATATATATATATATATATATATATATATATATATATATATATGACTAGCGTGTAAACTGTCACTACTCACCAGAGAACATTCTTCAAAGTGATGCTTTATAAAGGTCGAATTTAGTTATTTTTATTAATTAATTGGATAATTCGAGTTTCTTTGCACGCATGGCATTGGGAAATTTATTTTCTGTAATCATTACTTTATTTAATTTAGTCTGTTAGATTCAAAACATCTGGCCAATGCCGATAATATATTTTTTAAAAATTGGATTTTTTAGTAGACACATAATCCGACGCCATCCAAAGTCAAAATGAAACTGTATAAGATTTAAAAATATGTATAAAGAAATAACTAACGCTTGCAGTCTGGCAAATTCAAGTGATGACAGACTTTACAACTAACAATACATGATTGCCGCTGATATGTGTTCCATTTATCACAACCTGTTCACATATTTTGACCTTGCTAGTAGCCAGCTTAAGTGCCTAAAGTCATATTTTTATCCTACAATAGGCGAAGATACATTGTCTTGGTTAGTTTCGTTCTTGAAAGGAAGTTGGCTCCTCTGATCGATTATGATAAAATCAGTGGAGTAGCTAGAGGGGGGCGATCCGCCCTGAGTGCTACTTTTATGGGGGCGGGCGGCACTTATGTGTCTGCTGTAGGCTATAAACCTGTATAGGCTGTACTGAAATAAGTGCTTTTAATGTCGGGACAATACTCACATTTTTGAAGTATCTTTTTGATATCGAGTAACTTAAACCTTTCTTTAGCATATTGGCCTATTTACTGTCTATAAAGCGGCAATTGTCATATGAAATATTTTTTTGACAATGTC